TTATACCTCAAGGATAGCAAGTTGCTGCTGCTGCGGCGCAGCCAGCAGCAGCCGTGAGAGCACTGCGGGTCTCTCTTGACAGAGCAGCAGCAGCACGCGTCGTATGGCGAGGTGCTGCTGCTGCAGCTGCTGCTGCAGCTGCTGCTGCAGCTGCTGCTGCTGCTCGTCCAGCTGCTGCTGCTGCCCATATTGCTGCAGCCGATCCTCCTGTTTCAATTGCCGTTGTGGCTCTTGCTGCTGCTGCTGCTGCTGCTGCTGCTGCAGGCACAGGGTATATGCCTTCTTTAGGAATCGGCCCACGCAAGACTTCCGCAGCCCACAGAGCCGCGGCAGCACTTTCGAATCTGCTGCTGCTGCTGCTGCTGCTGCTGCTGTTGCTGCTGCTGCTGCTGAAGGGGTCGCTGCTGTTTTCTGTGCGGGCTTTGATGCTGCTTCAATGCTCTTCGATAGTGCAGCAGCGACACGCGTTGCAGCAACTGCCGCAGCAGAAGCAGCTGCTGCTGCTGCCTCCTCAGCAGCAGCAGCAATAGCTGCAGCAGTTGCTGCTGCTGGAGCTGCTGCAGCAGCCGCATCTGCTGCTGCTGCTTGTGTTGACGCTGCTGCTGCTGCTGCAGCTCTTGACCGTGATGCAGCCGCAGCCCTGGGACCATGCCCAGAAAGTGGGTCTGCTGCTGCTGCTGTTGCTGCTGTTGCTGCTGCTGTTGCGGCTGCTGCTGCTGCTGCTGCTGCTGCTGCACTGCAATGCCTTGCTGCATGCGTCAGAGCAGCAGAACCCCCATATAGCATCTGGGGGCCCCTGGGGGGCCCCCGGAGGGGCCCCCAGGAAGCTTCAGAGGGGGCCCAACTACGGCACGAGCACAAGCACCCTGGAAAACTTTGCTGCTGCTGCTGCTGCTGCTGCTGCTGTTGCTGCTGCAGCTGCTGCTGACGTCTGTAGCTGTGCTGCAGCAAAAGGAAGTGCGGGCCATTGTATGGGGGAGGGCTGGGCCCCGCGGCGAGCAGGGGCCCCAAGGAATGGGGCACGGGGGAGGCCCTCATCCCCGCTGCTGCTGCTGCTGCAGCAGCTGCTGCTGCTGCTGCTGCTGCTGCTGCTGGGGGGCCCCCAAGCTACAAGCTGCAGCAGCTGCTTCTGAGCAGACCCAAAAACATAATTTAAAAGCTAAAAATATCCGCAGCTAAACAGAAGGAGGCTCGGGGGGCCCCCGGGGGCCCCCCGCGGGCCCCCAGACTGCCCCCAGAGGGGCCCCCTACGGGGGCCACGAGCGGGGCCCTGGGGGGCCCCCCGGGGGCCCCCATGGGGGCCCCTAAAGGGGCCCTTTGTGAAGCAGAAGCTATTAAGGTCAATGTAATAAGCATTCTGCCGATTTCAGATAGATTTCAGTGTTATATGTTGAGGGTTTAGGGTTTAGGGTTTAGGGTTTAGGGTTTAGGGTTTCCGGGGTTGTGCTCAGTTTCGCCTGGGCTTCTGGCCTAGGGTTTGGGGTTTAGGGTTTAGGGTTTAGATGTGTAAGCTGCAAGAACGGGGCACATCACAAAATTGGTCTCGTCCAAGTCCTAAACCCCAACAGCTAAACCCTAAACCCTAAACCCTAAACCCTAATCAAGGGTTACGGGATCGCAGCAGCCCCTAAAGCATATTTGGCTTCATTTGCTGCGTGTTGCAGCGCCGACTGCCACTCCTGCTGCTGCTGCTGCTGCTGCTGCTGCTGCCGCTTCTGTGTACCTTTAAGGCTGTATTTCTACAGCAGCAGCAGCAGCAGCAAGAGCAGCAGCAGTAAGGACAGCAGCAGCAGACGCAGGAGCAGCAACAGAAGCAGCAACAGCAGCAGCAAAGGCAGCAGCAGCAACACTAGCAGCAGCACCAGCAGCAACAAACGCGGCCTCAGCAGCAGCCATAAACCCTTAGCAGGACTCCAAGCTCTCACTCCAAACCCTAAACCCTAAACCCTAAACCCCAAACCTCACTAGGGCCTTAGTGAGGTATTCACAACAGATAAAAAGCCAACAAAAACCTAGGGTTTAGGGTTTAGGGTTCGGCTCCTAGGGTTTAGGGTTTGGGGCTGCTGCTGCTGCCCCAGGGCCTGCTAAACCCTAAATTAGGCCTAAGAACCACCCCCAAAAGCAGCAAAACCCTAAACCCTAGGACCAAAACCCGAAACCCTAAACCCTAGGACGAAACCCTAAACCCTAAACCCTAGATAGGCTGCGCGGAGAGCGGCGGTTTGAGGTGTATGTACACCTAAGCACACAGAGCAATGCTCAAAGGTAAAGACAAAAGGCTAGGGTTTAGGGTTTAGGGTTTAGGGTTTCCCCGGAAACACTTGTTGGGACTCCCATTCCCTCCAGCCTGGCCAGCCAGCATTGCGCAAGCAGCTGCCGCCTGCAACAGCTAGCTAGCTGGCTACCTAGCTCGCCAGCTAGCTAGCTAGCTAGCCAGGTAGCTAGCCAGCCAGCTAGCTAGTCAGCTAGCTAGCTATCCAGCTAGCTAGCTAGCTAGCTGACTTGGCTAGCCCCTGCTGGTTAGCTTTCAGATTGTTTTGTGCAGCAGCCAGTCGCTGCTCTTTGTCACCCGGCTAGCTACTTAGCTAGCCCACTCGCTAGCTAGCCAGCTAGCTGCTAGCTAGCCGCTAGATAGCTAGCTAGCTACCTGAGCCCGCCCGGCTAATCCCCTGAAATGCGCCGGGTAGCTAGCTAGCTAGCTAGCTACCTAGCTAGCTACGTACCTAGCTAGCTACCTACCTAGCTAGCCAGCTAGCTAGTTACCAAGCTAGCCAGCTAGCCACCTGCCCACCTAGCTAGCTAGCTAGGTAGCTAGCTAGCTAGGCATCGCTGCCCGTGACTCCACCTCGCCGCCACCTTTATGTCCACACCAACTAGCCAGCAACTTTGTCCTCTAGCTAGCTAGCTAGCTTGCCAGCTAGCTGGCTAGCTAGCTAGCTAGCCAGCTAGCTAGTCGTGGAGGTGGTTGAGGAGGCTGCCTTGCATCTTGATCCACTTGGTCCTTTTGCGGATGCT